TATATATATATATATATTACTATACATATACATATTATACATATACATACATACATACATACATATATATATATATATATATATATATATATATATATATTATATATATATATATATATATATATATATATATATATATATATATATATATATATATATATATATATATATATATATATATATATATATATATATATATATATATATATATATATATATATATATATATATATATATATATATATATATATATATATATATATATATATATATATATATATTATATATATATATATATATATATATATATATATATATATATATATATATATATATATATATATATATATATATATATATGTGTGTGTGTGTGTGTGTGTGTGTGTGTGTGTGTGTGTGTGTGTGTGTGTGTGTGTGTGTGTGTGTGTGTGTGTGTGTGTGTGTGTGTGTGTGTGTGTGTGTGTTATGTTATGAGAGTAAACAAACTAACAAAGTATTTCCTTCAAGTATCTACAGCGTTCTTTAAGCACAAAGGGATAAAGGAAGAAGAAAAGTAAAACTAAACGAGCAACTCTGAATACGAAAAAATGAGGTCACTGGGAGTGCGAGAGGAAAGAGAGTGAATGGAAGTATATAAGGCGGCGCTGGACTAGACGAGCCAGCATCTTCCACCATGAAGCTCTTGGTGAGTGGTACTTCCTACTGCGTACGCTGAAATAAGAGGGATGTAGTGATAGTAGTTTTCTTATTTCATAGTTGCCTGTTCTACAAACAGGCTTATATGAGCATACTGAAGCATACATACATTCAGGTACAAAGTGACAAGCACCCAAATATTAACACACACATATATATTCAGACAGAACGGGTATGTAATGCCAAAATAATGCAAAATTAAAACAGTGCCCTTACGAAATACTACCCAGGCCTTTTATTTTTACAGGTTCTCTCGGCACTCGTGGTCGCAACTTACGCGGCACCTCAGGGCTACAATTTAGCCTCGCCATCGGGAGGTGGATTCTCCCATGGTGGAGGTCACTCATCTGGAAGTGGCATTTCTAGCGGAGTTTCCGGTGGAGGATTCTCCAGTGGCGGTGGAATCTCTCAGTGGTGGAATCTCTGGTGGAGGATTCTCCAGTGGCGGTGGAATCTCTGGTGGAGGATTCTCCAGTGGCGGTGGAATCTCTGGTGGAGGATTCTCCAGTGGCGGTGGAATCTCTGGTGGAGGATTCTCCAGTGGAATCTCTGGTGGAGGATTCTCAAGTGGCGGTGGAATCTCTGGCGGAGGATTCTCTGGTGGAAGCAGCGGTGGATTTGGTGGTGGATCTGGAGGTTCCGCTGGTGGGTGTCGTGATGGAGAGATCCTGCATGTGGATGGATCCTGCGTTGTTCCTGTAATCACCAGAAATGTATTTGTGTATGATGCTCCTGAACAATCTCAGCAGCCAAGCGGTCCACCACCAAGTGTCCCACCACCAAGAGTTGACCATAACGTTCTGTTCGTGCGTCTTCCTGAAGGAGGAGCAGGTCCTGAACCCATCATTGTTCCTCCACCAAGGCAAGAGAACATCGTGTATGTCCTGAACAAGAACGACGGAGCAGGAGGCCAGCGAGTAATCGAGGTTACTGCTCCTCCAGCTACCAATCCCGAGGTGTACTTTGTCAACTACGAAGAGGGAGAGAACCCAACTCTTCCTATTGGTGTGGATCTTGAGACTGCTCTCAACGCTGCCGCTAGTGCTGGCGGTCAAGTGATCGGAGGCGGCGGAGGAGCAGGTGGCTTTGGAGGCGATGGAGGATTTGGCGGTAGTGGAGCAGGTGGTTTTTGGAGGCGCCGGATGGAGGATTTGGCATATAGGTAGTGGAGCAGCGTGGTTTGGAAGGAGATTGAGAGTACGATTTTGGCTAGTATATTGCATTATTAGTCAGTTAGTTGGAGCATGATATACCGATATTGTCTATTAGAGAGATGATGAGAGGAGATATGGGTAGTGGAAGGTGGTATAATACATAGAGTGGAGGACTATCTTGGTCAGTCAGGCTGCGGGTTAAAGTGTGAATAGGTTTCGTAGTGCCGTTAATAATAGTGTATAGAGTGTGAAAGCTCTGGAGGGACTTGGGACGGAAGTTGGAAGCTAGGAGTATAGCGGCGAATTTGGTGAAGTGAATAGTGTAGAATGTCGATGTGGCTGGGTGGTATAGCTCCATCCTCGACTTTTATAATATTTACTTGTGATTCTCGTCTGTAAATACATAAAGAAGAAATATAATTTATCAATACTTATCCATATAGTATGACCTTTATATTATATTATGGCCAGATTATTGAGTAATACTTAATATATTTTTTTAAATAATTGTTTTAGTGTGTTTTATTTATACCAGATTATATATGTATATATGGTGAAAATAAATGTATGTTCAGCATGTTTCTTTATCTCTATCTACCATAAAATATAATGTACATAGATAATAATATATACTACCAACGCCTTATCTG